TCAACTATTCAGTAATTGTCCCATGTTTCTGTCTTGGAGGCGATCAGATTCACGTCGACTTGGCGCCATTTTTTCACAAATTTTTTTTGTGATTTTTTAAATTTAATATTTATAAGATTTTTTTAAAAAATTGTGTGATTTCATCCATGCAGTTATTGTCCCATGCTTCTATCTTGCGTTTAAATTAGCGTCGGCATGGCGCCATATGTTCACAACATTTTTTTATGATTTCTTTTTATTTGTTAATAATTACCAAACAAATGATGCAATGAAAAGTATTGGTACCTGTTTTAAGCCTTTCTGACATGTGTTAGTTAATCATAGTAATTTTCTTCAACGAAATATAATTTAAATATTCATGTTTTAGTTTTTATTCAGTCATTCAAGTTGATTATTGAAAAATATTACATAAAAAATTTAAATTTGGAGGTAATATTTTAATTCAAATATTAACACTCGATTCCAATTGTTAAAGGGTAATTCCCAAATATTTGGTTATTTAGGTAATTAATTAAGGATTAAAATGCTCGAAGATTGAAGCACTGAAAACTTTTAATTTAAGGGATTAAATTTAGGTGCAATATTGAAATTAAATATTAACAATTGATTCCAATTGTTAAACGGTCATTTACAAACATTAAATTATCTGTTTAATTAATTTATGATTGTAATGTTCGAATTCTAAATATTGAAAAATTGACTGAACTAAAATTTTTAATTTGGTTGTTATATTCAAATCATTAAATTATTAACAATCGATTCCAATTGTTAAAGAGTGATTCACAAATATTAGGTTATTTAGGTAATTAATTAAAGATTAAAATGCTCGAAGATTGAAGCACTGGAAATTTTTAATTTAAAAGATTAAATTTAGGTGCAATATTGAAATTGAATATTAACAATTGATTCCAATCGTTAAAGGGTCATTTACAAACATTAAATTATCTGTTTAATTAATCTATGATTAAAATGTTCGAATTCTAAATATTGAAAAATTGACTGAACTAAAATTTTTAATTTGGTTCTTATATTCAAATCATTAAATTATTAAGAATCGATTCCAATTCTTAAAGAATAATTCACAAATATTACGTTATTTAGGTAATTAATTAAAGATTAAAATGCTCGAAGATTGAAGCACTGAAAATTTTTAATTTAAAAGATTAAATTTAGGTGCAATATTGAAATTAAATATTACCAATTGATTCCAATTGTTAAAGGGTCATTTACAAACATTAAATTATCTGTTTACTTAATTTATGAATAAAATGTTCGAATTCTAAATATTGAAAAATTAACTGAACTAAAATTTTTAATTGGGTTATAATATTCAAATCATTAAATTATTAACAATCGATTTCAGTTGTTAAAGGGTAAGTCACAAATATTAAATGACTTGACGCTCTTTGATTGGCTTACAAGCACGGGCTCCATCCTAGTTCATGCGCCACCGCTATGGGCTCATGTGGCTGAATTCCGTAAGCGCTGACAATTTCCCCTACTACCGTCGCCGCGGCCGCAAGCGGCCGCGACGTTGATGCAATTCTCCATGTCAATTCTCATGGAACTGCTCGTGTGGATTCACCCTGAATAAATGCACAGTGCCCCATGAGCATTGCGCCATGACACTTGTGGTGGGCGCCATGACAGTGCTCTGCTTTTTTCAATAGGAAATAGGATACTTACCAGTTTTATTCCCTAGAACAGCCCACCCAAACAGCGCTAGGGAATAGTAACGCTCTCGAAATAAAACTCTTGAAAAAGTGAATTCTTATCCGTTGCTATGGAGTTATTTTTGTAATAATGTAATAAGTGAAAAAAGTAAAAATCTCATCAGAAAGATCAACCGCGATTTATATGTATCTAAGAATGCTTTAGCAAAATAGCGTGCGTTTGAAGGGGAAAAAAGCAATTGAAGTTTTTTAAGGGGTTAGGGGCGAGTTGTTAGCTGAAATATAATACACGACAGCTCTCTGCCTGTGACGTCACCTCTGCCTGTGACGTCAACTTGGCAGATACGCTATCGCGTATCTTGATAAAAACCGGTTAGACGAGTACTTTGCAGCTCGTTTGCAGTGCCAAGCACCGTAATTTTTCATAGATTTTTCTCTCCGTGCAGGAAATTCAATATGAATTTGTTGTGTTTAAACATTCTAAGGTGTTTGTACAAAATTTCAGGAGTAATTTTTCAACAGTATAATCTTACAAATTAATAATCTGTTACAGAAGCTACATTGTCATGAACGCGTTCGGACTCTTGAATCTGTATACAATGTAAAACATCCAGGAATGTCAATAATACATTTTCACCACTTCTTTTCCTAAATTAGTAGTATTAT